TTTTTTGCGCGGGGAAGGGGGGCGGAGGCAGGGATTTGGCATCATCTGTCAGGGAATCCAGGGATGGCGAAGGGTACGGACCACCTTCCAAACCTTCTGCATTGGACAGATGCAAACCATATTGTCCACTCCAACCCTCGTCACTCGGGCTATGTCAGGGTAAAATAAGCATCAGCGGGGGAGATGTGTGGGAGGGGGTTAGCATCCGCAAAGGTGGAAGAATTAAGGGTCACCGTCGGCAGCCGAGCCCCAAAGTTTGGGGTTGGAGCCAAGGGGTGGGACCTCCTGGCACCCCAGGATCTGTCCTGCACACACCCTTTAAGTTTCTCGGGTTGCGTCTCGCCTGTAGATTCTCAGGCGGGACACTGTGTCCAGCGTTCTCCTCACAGCGCATAGCTTAGAGCTGACTGCCCAGCCGGTTCCCAACAGCTGGGAGCAAAAGCTGCTTTTGAGGTTGGCGACGGCTGGGCACTGGTTTTATTTATGTTAGGGTGTGGCCCCTGTACCAACTGCCAGCAAATTTCTTCCGATCACCCTCTGTCTTCCACCTTCTGCCCAGGTGACATCGGGAAGCCCCGCAGGGCCGGCGAGGGGCTCAGCGGTTAAGCCGCGTCCTTCAAGTGTCAGTGTCGGTCCGCTTGTAAACCACAAACCCCAGAATCCCTTGTGCAGGGAGGTCAAGCCGCAAATAAGATGGCTCCAGAAGGCTGGAACATGCAGCAGGGTGGAAACCCTAGTCCCCGGCAGTTTCTTTACCGGATGTGTTTAAATAATCGAATCCCCACAAATGCACCACCCCGCTAACCACCTTAGAGGCGGAGGAGGCCACCGCCACCGCCTCGCTGGCTCCCCCATAGACATCCTGGGAATTGTAGTCCAGCCTCTGGGCTACGCCGAACTACCTTTCCCATGGTGCCCTGCGGGTCGGGAGATATCAACGTTCTTTTCCAAAACTCTCTCCGCTCTGAGACCCCGGGTTTCTCCGCTCCTCTTCTTCCTGACGACCCCTTTCGGTTTGTCGCAACACAGCGGCGGCAGCAGGAGGGCCCCGG